CACCTCAACAAGATTTGTGTATCGTAACATATAGAGGAACCATATTAGCAATATTATAGCATGAAGATATTGGGTGTGACATAAATCAGTCAGTATATTGCATTCAACATATAATTTCCAACTTCAACAAAAAATTTAAGAATGTCTAATTGAAAAACCAAATATATAACATGGGTAATATATATTTTAACTTTTTTTTCATATTTATTAACTTTTTGCTTTTTTTTTAATATATGAGATGAAACAGTCAAGACTTCTAACTAAATTATTTGCTATAAAATCATAATTTTAATAAAATGCTTCTTGTACAATATGACAATTTTTTAATGAAAAATTTTAAAATTAATGTACTATATTCTAAAATACGATTATTTTCTTAAGAAGCACGATTATCCATTTTGATAATTTTTTTATCATTGTACACTAATTTTGTAATAGTGTTGATAAATTGCACCCATTTCATAAAAAATCCTTTGAGTTTCTTGTTAATATGAAATCTTGAGTTCTTGGAAAAAAAAACACTTATAATTGGAGAAAAATAAAACACTAATTTTGTAATAGTATTGATAAATTGCACTCATTTCATAAAAAATACTTTGAGTTCTTTGTTAATATGAAATCTTGAGTTCTTGCAAAAAAAAATAAAATAGTATTGATAAATTGCATCCATTTCATAAAAAATCCTTTAAGTTCCTTGTTAATATGAAATTTTGAGTTCTTGAAAAAAAAAAACACTTATATCTGGGGAAAAATAAAACACTATTTTGTAATAGTGTTGATAAATTGCACTTATTTCATAAAAAATACTTCTAGTTACTTGTTAATATGAAATCTCGAGTTCTTAAAAAAAAAACTTATAACTGGGAAAAAATAAAACACTAATTTTGTAATAGTGTTGATAAATTGCATAAGTTCATTGTTAATATAAAATCTTGAGTTTTTGAAAAAAAAAAACACTTATAAAAACAAAAAATCTTGAGTTCTTAAAAAAAATTGTGTTGATAAATTGCACCCATTTCATAAAAATCCTGTAAGTTACTTGTTAATATGAAACCTTGAGTTCTTAAAAAAAATACTTATAAATGGGAAAAAATAAAACACTAATGTTATAATAGTATTGATAAATTACACTCATTTCATAAAAAATACTTTGAGTTCCTTGTTAATATGAAATCTTGAGTTCTTGAAAGAAAAACACTGGGAAAAATAAAATACTAATTTTGTAATAGTGTTGATAATTAATATGAAATCTTGAGTTCTTGAAAAAAAAAACACTTATAACTGGGAAAAAATAAAACACTAATTTTGTAATAGTATTGATAAATTACACCCAATTTATATAAAATCTTGAGTTCTTAAAAAAGAAAACACTTATAACTAGGAAAAATAAAATACTAATTTTATAATAGTATTGATAAAATAATTCGAGTTCCTTATTAATATAAAATCTTGAATTCTTAAAAAAAATATACTTATAATTGAAAAAAAAATTCTAATTTTGTAGTTGTTTGTTAATATGAAATATGGAGTTTTTGAAGAAAAAAAAACACTTACAAAAACATATATATGGAGTTTTTGAAAAAAAAAAAAAACACTTACAAAAACATAAATCGTCGCCTGAGAGATTCGAACTCTCGCGGGGAAACCGCATGTACTTAGCAGGCACACGCCTTAACCACTCGGCCAAAGCGACGTTGTTGAGAGAACATTCCATAACCACATACATAATCATTTTTCTAATTTAATGGACACTTTCATCCTAAATGAGCAGAAGGTGACGAAAATAAAGTTTTGTTCCAAAATATTTTTCAGCTCCCTTCCCTTTTATCTATACTTCTCATGAGGCTGCTTTAAATAAAATAAAATAGACCCTTTTTAAGTGAATAAAAAACCAATAATTACATACAAAACAGAATTGTTAACCATCATCATAAAATCAAGTACTTGTACAATGTAATTGTTGATGTGCTTCCCTCAAAACTCCATCCCTAATAATCTTTTTCTGTGATTAATGGAAAACAATTGTAAGTTGTAACTTGGTATGAAAATCCAAATTTTCTTTCCTCTAATGGTTCAGAGGGAGGGAGATACAGCGAGCATCTTCTTTTTCCACATAAATTTCATTCAGCTATTTCCATTAATATATATGATGATACACAGCTACATGCGGTTGCCAACATAAAAAAAATATTAACAAAAAAAACATAAATACATTGGAATACTAGTTTTTTCAATAGTAACTTTGTTTTGGTTTCTTACATTGGGGGAACAAGTATCATAAAAACTTTTGAATCATTTCTCTGACTTCTTCAGTAACTAACCAGGCCTTATGGCCTCCAATGACTTCTGCTTTCATCTCTCCATCTTTCCACAGCTGCAAACAATTCAGTATCTAAATCATCCTTTCCAGTGACAAGATTTTAGTTTTACTTTTTTAATGTTATGATGTAGAAAAATAAACTTAATGGGAGACGCACCTGAATTGTTGGCATTTTCTGCATAATGCAGAACAACAAAATAAACAACAGTCATAATGAGCACAAAACATTATGCAAGACATTGTTACTGAAATAAGTAAGAATGAAAATTCATACTCACAGATATGTTGCCTCGCTTGACTAGAGTCTGGGGTACTTTATTCACATCCACATAGTAAAATTTGGCTCTGAAACATGATCGAAACTGCGCACAAAAATTTTCAAGTCATTTTAATCGATTGAAATTCGTTTTAATCGATTGAAATAGGTCTGATCAGTCATAATTCAATCTGATCGATCATAACCAACTTCGATCGGTCATAATTTCATTCTGATCGATTATCCTGACTTCCAAAGTGGTTTTAATCGATTAAAAGAAGTTTGTATCGATTAAAATATCGTAAAAATACTTCTTTAAACATTCTAAGTGATTTTAATCGCTTCTTTTAAAACTATATCGGTTAAAAACATTATTAAGAAAGTTCATTGTCAAAATGCTTTTGTTTTTTATTTGTTTAAAACTATTTTCGAGGCATTTTGCAAAATGATGAAGAAACTTTATGCGTGCGAAAAGGTAAAATGGTTTTACCTAAACTTTCGTTAAGACACACTAAATCTTCAACTCAATTATCCGGGTGACTTGTTGATCACTGCAGAGTTGAAACGGCTTATTTCAACAAGATTAAAACAAACTTTCAACAGATTAATTAATGCAGATAGCTTATGAAAATACTCTTTAAAATCAGTTTGCTTGAACTTTTTAAACATACATTGAATAAGATCTTCGTTTTATCAAATGATTCAATAAGATCTTCATCATTTTCAATTAATTGAAAAACTCCTAAGTTTCATACATTGAGACATTTCTTAACTAACACAATCTAATGATGCGAAGTAGATGCACATGCAATATTGAGACATGTTCTTCTGCTATGACCAGGGGTATGACAATATGAACATTTTTTAATCCTACTATGATGTTCCAGTAATGTCCATCTCGGCTTCTTGTGTGCATCAGAAAGACATGGGAATCCTGACTTCGGTGGGTGACTCAGCATTGTAAATATTTGTAGGTTTGCTGGCTCAAGCGATGGTTTCTCGCTCGAGCGAAAAAGAACCCGAGAGTCCCCCTTGTTTGAAGGCTTCATCGCTCAAGCGGTGACTTTGTCGCTTGAGCGAGTAATGACCGAATCATGAAACGCCAAACGCAGTTAGCCAAATAATATAACTTGGTTCACCACATATTAGAATCACTTGTCGCTCAAGCTGTTCATAATGTCGCTGAGCGATAAAGAACCCGAGAGTCCCCATTTTTCCAGTGTCCTCGCTCAAGCGAGGTGATTTTCGCCGAAGTCACCTTAGATAGCGGTTGCTAACAACCGCTTTAAAATATATATTAGATAGCGGTTAGCTTTAACCGCTTTCAATGTAGTTGTTTAGATAGCAGTTAGTACATATAACCGCTATCTAAAGTCATATATGTCAAAGTGATCGACTATAATCGGATAATAATCGATCATACTTTTCAGCTCAGCTGAGGTTCTTCACCGCTCAGCGGTTTCTTCGTTGAGCTGAGAATTTACCCTGCATTACCCTTCGTTAGATATGTCTCCGCTCAGCCGAAGGTTTCCCGACGGCGAAGAATCAAGATGCGAAATAATATTATTTTAATACGTGAACGATGAACAGATTCAAGCGCAAAATAATATTATTTTATTACGTGAACGATGAATGATACTTAGTTATAGTAAATAAAGTTTCGAAAGTCTGCTATTTTGGTAAATATTTTTGAAAACAGTATTATTTATGAAAAAAGTCGTTTTTGAAAAAAAAAAAAAAAACACTTACAAAAACATAAATCGTCGCCTGAGAGATTCGAACTCTGCGGGGAAACCCCATGTACTTAGCAGGCACACGCCTTAACCACTCGGCCAAAGCGACGTTGTTGAGAGAACATTCCATAACCACATACATAATCATTTTTCTAATTTAATGGACACTTTCATCCTAAATGAGCAGAAGGTGACGAAAATAAAGTTTTGTTCCAAAATATTTTTCAGCTCCCTTCCCTTTTATCTATACTTCTCATGAGGCTGCTTTAAATAAAATAAAATAGACCCTTTTTAAGTGAATAAAAAACCAATAATTACATACAAAACAGAATTGTTAACCATCATCATAAAATCAAGTACTTGTACAATGTAATTGTTGATGTGCTTCCCTCAAAACTCCATCCCTAATAATCTTTTTCTGTGATTAATGGAAAACAATTGTAAGTTGTAACTTGGTATGAAAATCCAAATTTTCTTTCCTCTAATGGTTCAGAGGGAGGGAGATACAGCGAGCATCTTCTTTTTCCACATAAATTTCATTCAGCTATTTCCATTAATATATATGATGATACACAGCTACATGCGGTTGCCAACATAAAAAAAATATTAACAAAAAAAACATAAATACATTGGAATACTAGTTTTTTCAATAGTAACTTTGTTTTGGTTTCTTACATTGGGGGAACAAGTATCATAAAAACTTTTGAATCATTTCTCTGACTTCTTCAGTAACTAACCAGGCCTTATGGCCTCCAATGACTTCTGCTTTCATCTCTCCATCTTTCCACAGCTGCAAACAATTCAGTATCTAAATCATCCTTTCCAGTGACAAGATTTTAGTTTTACTTTTTTAATGTTATGATGTAGAAAAATAAACTTAATGGGAGACGCACCTGAATTGTTGGCATTTTCTGCATAATGCAGAACAACAAAATAAACAACAGTCATAATGAGCACAAAACATTATGCAAGACATTGTTACTGAAATAAGTAAGAATGAAAATTCATACTCACAGATATGTTGCCTCGCTTGACTAGAGTCTGGGGTACTTTATTCACATCCACATAGTAAAATTTGGCTCTGAAACATGCAAGGTGGCAACATTAATTTGTTTTGGATTAACAAGACACAATGGATTCATAGACAGTGTTCAAATGAATATTTTTATGCGTACAATGTTTGAACCATGAAGCTAGAGTTTATGATTTTATACATACTTTTTAAACTTCTATTTAGTTGATCCTAGTGTTCACTTCAAATGTTATATGTAGCTATACAGAATTGATATTAGATTATTATAGTTTTGATTCAAGGGAAAATATTCAGAGCCATCTAACTGAGGAAGACATAATGAGCATTTTACTTGGTGTGATATTCAGCTGCTAATTTTTCTAACTTGGGCTTCAAATAGATGCATTTCCGACACCAAGTAGCCATCCTACATCACAAAAATAGACACAAGTAATCAAATGAGCATATCTACCCTCAAAATTTTTCTATATTCTAGAAGATTAAAATTCTTTATTTTATAATATATTGAATGGTTATTAAAAATAGATTTTTTATTTAAGTAATTATCAACAAATATTTGGTCTGACTCTGATTTAGGTTTGGTTTTTTTCACTTTATTCCTCAAACAGTTCTAAGAAACCCTATTTTATTATTATAAGTAGTTGTATTAGCCAAGGGTTTTGTACATTGAATTATTCTCCCACAACATCTTCTACAAATTTTTGGATTAGTCTCACTTTATATAAACTTGTTATTTCTGTTGTCCCTTAATATTGGAAACACAAATTTCAAAATGTTACATCACCTCATATTTTAAACACTTTTCTTCAATACAAAAAAATTAACTTGTATAATAATTGGATTAATGATTATTTTGCTGTCTAACATAAATTAGTGACAATTTACTTTTAAAAAAACAAAAACTCTAAGTAGTTCTTAAATATGTACAAATTGAGATAATTACCTTTTGATGTTTAACAGGGTTCCCAAATTTTGCAATTTAAACATGATATAATGTTCAATTGTTTCCTAACTAAAACTTACATTTTGAATAATAAAGTAATCCGAATACAATATAACGTAAGTATTTCACATTTCCCACCTCCAAAATAATCACTGACTCAAATCTAAATGATGAGATAGTTAGTGAGTAATTAACTAATTACAGAAAAAGTTGCAGAGAAGAAGAAGAAGAAGTGGAGAGAGAGAGAGAGTACGAACCAATCAATGAGGATAGGTTGTGAGTTGTTGCGAGCAAGAAGAAGAATTTGATCAAGGTGTTCAGAATCGTTGATTTCTTCCATCTCAAGCTCACTGGGTCTTGACAAATCTGGCCACATCGCCTCCACACGCAAATTTCTCCTTTTCATCTTCCTTTCTCTGTTTCTGCTTCCCACCCATGTGTTCCTGCACCCACTCCTGTGACAAAACAGATACCCTCTCCCACTTACCAAGCACTGTGCCCACTGTTCATCTCTCTGATAAACCTCTCCGCACACAAAATGTGAATACGCCCCTATCACAGACATACCCTTTTGCACTGTAAGCTTTTCAAAACGATTTGCCTCTCCGATGATGCTTGATTGATTGCTAAGAAAAAAGGGTCAGAATCATTCTCGGTGGTTTCTTAGGGTATGGGACAAATCATGATCTGGGGGAAAAGAAGAATAAATGAAGAGACTGGAAATCAAAGTAAGGTTTAGCTTTATAAAAAGTTGAAAAAAAAAAAAAATTGGCGCAGCAAGAGATGAAGAAGGCTTATCTTGAAGGTTTGCAGAGCCACATGTCAAGAAAATAGGGGAAAATTAATATATCCGAAGGGTAAAGAATTTTTGGCCCACGCTTTTCGGATAAAGCTCCACTCTTTATTTTATAAGGCATTTCAATGGAAAATTTTGTATTTCTTAAATAGTATAACGACACTTATTCATATTTGTTTTATTTATAACAACATTAAATATTTTTATTTGATATTTAATGAATTTTTATAATAAACTATGATCACCGTGACTTTAGTTAGTTGAAAGCATATACATATAGAGAAAATAAGTGTTCATAATGTCTCTATTAGAGATTATCGTGGAATATTAATCAATCACAATTTTACTTTTAAAATAAATTTAAATAGATTAAAAAAAAGAATAAATACAAATTATTTTAAAAATTTATTGTTAAGTAGGGTGAGTCGTACAAATTTTATTTTATTAAAACTTACAGAAACAAGTAATTTTTTTATGTTTTTTTTAAATGATCCTATGTATTATTAACAAATGTAAGTTAATTTGAAAGTGTGGATATATATATATATATATATATATATATATATATATATATATATATATATATATATATATATATATATATATATACTATGAACTAACGAGTTTCTTAGTTTCATATTTTTAGGATTAATTTTTATTTTTAAAGTATTATTTGATTTTGAGTTTTTTATCACAATTATTTGTCTTAAAAAAATAATATATATAAAATATCTTTTATCTCAATTTTTAAATAATACGAGACCAGTAAATATATATATATATATATATATATATATATATATATATATATATAAACTTTTCATGGTAAAAAAAATAAAAACACCAGTTATCATCGTTAAATTTTTATGAATGAAATTTATTTAATGAATGAAATTTATTTATCATGGATGAATGAATTTATCACAACTGTTTTATTTACTTAAATACATGGTCACCACATATGTTCAATAACAATTTTTATTTAACATAACTATTCCAAAAATATGAATGCACAGTGTATTTCTCTACAAATATTATTTTAGAATGAATTTTAACTGTTCAGAATGTTTATTCGAATAATAAACCTCATAGTGTTTCATAATCATCTCGTAAATAATGAATTTTAAACTGTTCTAGAATGTTTATTCTGTAATAATAAACCTCACATAATGTTTCATAATCATCTCTGTAAGAGTGTTAATTGGTTCCAAAATTATCTTTCGGAAAGAGATAAATTTTGATGTAGGGATGTGGTGAAGTTTAGAAAACGCCTAAGCACAATTGTGTGACTTCACATTTTAGGGGTTCCAAAAGAAAAGATCTACGTTCCATAGTTGGCACTTACTAATAAATTCTAAGACTGATTCTTCTTACATTTCAATATTTTCTTCGGTACCCATGTAAAATATAAGAAATGTTATTGAAACTAATTTTCTCCCTTTTTCCTCTTTTACACCACACTTTCTTATTGTTGAATTATTGATAAGCGTATCAAAATTATCAATCGTAATATAGTATTTTGATTAAATAAAAGTTGATCCAACAAAAAACAGTTTCAATAAAAATTCTCAATTATATGTTTACTAAGTGAATTAAAACAAATTGGGTTTTGCATAAATAGTTGAATTGAAATTAAATGACAAAGAACTGTAAATTGTTGAGAAAATATAAATTAAAGGCACTTAGGATTGACTTCCTTTTGTATCCCTCTTTTGTAACCTAATGTTGATGTCACCTACCCAAATCATCCATGTTGATTCCTCATACATGAAATTCATAAGAAAACCTAATAAATGTTGATTCCTCACACAATTAAGAGATTTTTCAGCATTAGGTTTAGGATGTTAAGCAATTGATACATTCATTTCATTCCTGATAATTAACGTAACAAATATTCTTACCATGATCTAGGATTCAAGATATATTTTTCAATCATATCTCAAACATCAAGAATAAATCATTCCAAAACACAAAGGATAAAAATAATAACATCAAAACATAGATTAATATCTCAAAATATCATCATGCATGATACAAAATAGTTCAAAGGAAGTGCATCAAATCCCAAGAGAATGAAGTTAGTCACTCATGTTGGCCATTACAATACTCCAATTGTGGAAGAAGTGAAAAATTAATGCAGATTTGATGAAACCCTAGCAATAGTCGTGCCTCTTCTCCCCAAAACCGCTTCCTTTTCTCAAAACATATATTATCTTTTTATAGAAAAAATTGGACCTCGCGTATTTCGTTCAAGCAACAACTTTCGCTCTAGCGAAAGTTTCCTATTTTCGCTCAAACGAAAAATCGTTCGCTTAAGTGAGTGAATTTCAGAGAAGAATAACTAACATTCGCTCAAGTGAATTTATTGGTGTTTGAGCGACTGACTTCCAGAGAATAATAACTGACATTCGCTCAAGCGAGAATTCATCTCGTTCGAGCGACTTCTATGCTGAAAATTTTCTTCATTCTTCCAGTTTTACTCCAATTATGCTAACAATTATGTTCTTTACTCTTGTATCAAGGTATTCTCGAATTCATCCTATATTGAGAGAGAAATAGATTATAATTAATATAAGTTAAGTGGTTTCTTAACAATTCAAAGTATAATTATATCATCTTTTTACCACTTAATACTTATTAACACCTATATTTTCTTTTTCCTACTCTCGCACATCTTCGTTCAAACAACATTTTCACTTTAAAATTAGAAACAATAATTTGTGTTTTAAATAGTATAATATGTTTTACATAAAAAAATCTTAAAAAAACATAACATAGTTGTATTTGTAGTATTCTATATTATTGGTAATGAATATATGTAATAAGTTGTTGGTAAAAGAATGCAAGAGCACGAGATGATCCATATGATCTTGATCGAGTATTTGAATCAATAGAAAATCTTTTATTTTATATTAGAATGAATTACATTCCAATTTCTTATTGATATCTTATAAGGAATCAAATTGAATTCCAAATTAACGGATTACTGTAAATTTATTCCTACAGTTATAAAGTTATGGACTATTCCAATAGAAATCTATTTTTTTGAAAGATTCTTTCATTTGATGAGTCTTCGATATTCAATGTTTAAAAAACACAATCCATAAACGAATTTTAAAAATGTTGATATGAACTTATTTTTAGATTGTATTTTTCATAAATATCTTTTAGATTTAACAATCTCAAACTTATTTTTAAATTATATTTTTTGGAATATATATTTCAGATCTAATAATCCATGACTCATTTCCGGATTAGGAATCACTTTTTTAAAAATTTGCTGGATTAATCTTTCAAAAAACTTTTTATAAATATTCTATAATTAATTTTCTGAAATATTTCTGAAAATCTGATTTTAGAACATTTTTAAAAAGTTTTCAAAACTCAATCCAAAAGATATTTAAACTAAGTTTTTCAAAATCTATTTCCATCGATCATAATATTATCATTTTAGATAAATACGAAGGAAAGAGGAAGAAAATATGGGTGCAGCAAGAAACAGCCAAGGCTAAATGGGCTTCTACTGCGGATCAGTTTCCTACTATATTAACTAAGAAGTTATTTAACGGGAACAAATCAGTATACAATCCATTTGTCTTCTTGGTGTTAATCCTTAAATTCAAATATATTATAATCTTAAAAATATGTAGTGATTTTCAGGAACAAAATAATATATTATTAATAAATAAAAAATAAATATAAAAATTAATACATATAAAAGAAAAAAATCAAATTTATAAATATATAAATAAATATATTTAATAATTATAAAATTTTAAAAATAATTATAAAATTTAAAAATATTAAAATTATGAATAAAACTTTAGGATGATAATCCTTCTTCGTTAAAATAATGATAAAATTAACATCCTTATTTTTATTTAGTAAACATAAAGATTAAAAACATAATCACATTTTCTAAAAAGAATTATCTATTTTCAAATTACAAATATATATATATATATATATATATATATATATATATATATATATATATTCAACACTTCTGTTTACCTTATCACCTTTCTTTATTTTATAAATTTCAAGTTTCAAAACAAGAAAAATATTTTATGATTTTTTTCCCTTTATTTTGCATATAATTTGTATAAAAAAAATTACACAAAGTTCTAATATCATTAATGGGTGGTTCCGTGTGCTCAAACATTCTTAAGAAGATATCTTATATTTTTCTTCATTATATCTATTTAAGATTTTTTTTTAAATTCATCAAATCCACATATTATAAATACGTAATTACCAATAATCCAGTTAAAGAAATCGGAATTAAACATAACACGATTTCAAATAGAAAAACTTCAAATTTTCTTTGGTTGATAATTGTGACGATGATTACGAATATAGAAATATTGATATAGAGATTACTAAACATCAAATTATTATCTTTTATACGTTGGACGATAGAAGACCACGATGAATGTAAATTTTGACATTGAGATTACTAAAATGTTGTGATAAATACTTAACATTGGAATAAAAATGAATCAAATGGATAATATAATGGCTTAGTGAATCTGTTTCAAATATTCACTGAATCTGAAGATAGGTTGCACGTGAAATGCAGTTTTTAATATATTTCTAATGACTAATTTAAAATAGTTTATTTTAAAAAATAAAAAATAAAAAAAATTATAAGTGAGGATTAGAAATACCTATAATATAATATTTTTAAGAATTTGGGTTAAAAATATTTATTTTTTTAATGGTTAGTTCGTATTTATTAATAAAAATGGATTAGAATCCATTATAAA